GCTATAAAATGTGATGTTGTTAAAACTGAAAATCCTTAAATAAATAAATAGGGGGATTTTTACCAATTTTTTTTTTTACACTGCAGACGTTGATTTAATGCCTAAATAAATAAATGTAACTAAATTTTTTAGCTGAAAGTCTACATATAAATACATACACCCTCGACAATCCATTATGCTGCAATATTTTTTTAAAACTAAGTATTACACTTCATAATGAACCAGCAATAACTTTCCAATATTTATGATTTACAAACCTTATACCTTCTTAACAATCTATGTACAAATATTTGATAAAAAGCTGCAGCAACCAAAAAAGCTTAGAAATTAGTAATCTTTGTAGTTCTAAACCTCCTCTAGGATATACAAAAAAATTGGATTTCTTAAATCGCTTGAAATTTGTCCTAATGAAGATAATAACTTGGATAAATTAAGTCAATAAATTTTTCTTCTGTAAATATTCTCAGCCTCAAGGAGCTTTCTTGAAATAACAGTTATAAATAGAAGGGCCTTACAGTTTTCGTTTTGGAAAAATCATCGCTTCTTATATTGAAATAAAGTTTGGTGTGAGGAGTACTGAAAAACTAAACATAGGATAAGCTTGAACGACTAAAAGAGTCCTATATGTGCCGCAGGAAAGCCTAAAAGACGACATTTTCTGAAACATGCTACAAAAAATATGAGGCATCAAGGCTCAGCAAGATGTTCTCTAGAACCGATTAGACAATAGGAGGTATCAGTAAACTAGTTTAGCTCATGGACCGACTCTAGCCAGGAAACCTTGGATCTCCTAACAAAAAGAAAATTATGGATATTTAATATTAAAACAACTGCTGGATACAGAGTGTTTAGCTAAAGTGAGCCATCAATTCGTTCGGATTGTGATAAAAGGTGATGCAGAGCTCTGCTTAATCTTTTTTCAGATAGTTGGTACTACAGGCTTTGGAAAAGTCAGCCATGAAGTGATACTCAGTTGAGCAACGCGTTAAAGTGATCCAAACGTCGATGCTGCGTAAAAAAAAAATCATTGTCATGTTAAAGGATACGTTAATGAGAAAAACTACATCCACCGCATGAAAAACCTATGCACCGACAACAAGTCACTGTTTGGTGCGGATTTCGGGATAGCGAACTCATCGGACTATACTTTTTCGAAAATGATACCCGTAACGCTGTCTCGCTGTGCCTGCTACTTGCCTAATAGCGCATGAAACAATGACCCTATTGCGAATATATCAGTTTTATTTATTCACCCTCTATATAAAAGGGAATTCTAAATAAGTGTTATCCACACAATGAACATACCAATGTAAGTTTACGGCAAGAGTAGATAGGTCGACAACGCTTTCCACCAAGTGATCAGCACTATTGAAAAATCATCTCACTACCCTAGCTATTTACATAGCTTCTTTGACATTGAGGGTGCTTTCAACAATGCCAAAACAGAAGCAATCAGAAGGGCGCTAGAGAGACTGGTATCTGTGTTTATAGTGGTTTGAGTCCACTCAATAATTATTTTTTAACAAAGGATAACTTGGTTGTATAAATTACCGGCAAATTCTTGCCAATAATTAGTCAGCTGATGGAACCGTCAATGCGTAATGTCCGCTGTGGCTGAGTGATTAGAGGTGCTTTGTACTGCTCCACCAGACCTAGGCTAGATGCGCCGTTCCAAACAACATCTCAAGTAGAAATAGTTTTTTCTGTCACCGGTCGCTCCTCGGCAGACAATGCCAAACTCCCCAGCGTATTTCTGCATAAAATCCATTTACCGTTTGAAGGCGACGTAAAATTTTAGGTCCCCCAATTTCAAGACGTATACAACAAATTCTCTCCTCAACCTAATTTGATCCTGTTCACAAGGAAACCAAATACCCCTGAATTCCCTTTACCAAGGCTAGTTCGGACAGATTTTGGGCTTTCATCCGAGGTGAAATATTATTATTTCCAACATGGAGATGTTACGTCGAGCGGCAAAAGAGCACCGCGGAAAAACTGGAGACTGTCACCGCGCGTCAGTCACAGTATCAATCCGATCGTCGTAACGATCAGTGAAAAGCGCTGGATAAAATAATGACTCCCAATTTACAGCCAATTTAAATTCAAAGGCTCAAAGATGGAAAAAGAAGTTGACGTCGATTTCTATCGGGAGGACTTGGAGAGGAGGTAATAACCTTGCCTGCCTGATGACTGCGTGTCTTTCAACCGGAGATCTTTGCCATAAAGCAGGGATACAGAATAGAAAGTCTCTATCAACCGAGTGCACTTAAATCGTTAAAATTTAAAACAACCAAGTCAAGATTATTCCAAAATGTTGCGCATCCTTAGCTTCACTGAGTTGCTTGGGTTCGTGGACATGAAAATATTGAATTGAACGAAATAGTCAACGAGATGGCCAAACGAGGGTTTCAGCTGCAGATACATGCAAGGCGGACAACTCCCTACAACCACCGATATTCGATCTACTGAGGAAAATTTATGAGTATACCATAGCCGTAAAAAGTGACCGATTTACCAGGCTCCATATGAGGAAGTCAGAAGTAATATTACCACAGGCTATTTTGACTTGTACATATGAGGAAATCTCACGAGTTGTTAAATTTTTGGACAAAAACGTGTTTTTAGTCGAAAATGGTGGCACACTTATCTTAGACAATGCAATATCTTAAGTTTTGTATAAACAACAAGATTCCATCGCAAAATTGTATTTTAATGAAATTTTAAAAATGACATACTAAAATAAATGTAAACAGCAACTCGTACACATATACCAGTAGTTATGTATATAACGTATACGTCCCGTAGCACCAAACACAGTCAAATAACAAGTTTACTCGCACGCCTTAACATAAAATTCATAAAATTTAAAGGCAATTAAATATTTGTATTTTTAATATACTGAAATATGTCAATAAAGAGCTTACAAATCTAAAGATTCAGGTAGATGTTTAACAATAATAGCATATAACGGGTGATTTTTTAAGAGCTTGATAACTTTTTTTTTAAAAAAAACGCATAAAATTTGCAAAATCTCATCGGTTCTTTATTTGAAACGTTAGATTGGTCCATGACATTTACTTTTTGAAGATAATTTCATTTAAATGTTGACCGCGGCTGCGTCTTAGGTGGTCCATTCGGAAATTCCAATTTTGGGCAACTTTTTCGAGCATTTCGGCCGGAATAGCCCGAATTTCTTCGGAAATGTTGTCTTCCAAAGCTGGAATAGTTGCTGGCTTATTTCTGTAGACTTTAGACTTGACGTAGCCCCACAAAAAATAGTCTAAAGGCGTCAAATCGCATGATCTTGGTGGCCAACTTACCGGTCCATTTCTTGAGATGAATTGTTCTCCGAAGTTTTCCCTCAAAATGGCCATAGAATCGCGAGCTGTGTGGCATGTAGCGCCATCTTGTTGAAACCACATGTCAACCAAGTTCAGTTCTTCCATTTTTGGCAACAAAAAGTTTGTTAGCATCGAACGATAGCGATCGCCATTCACCGTAACGTTGCGTCCAACAGCATCTTTGAAAAAATACGGTCCAATGATTCCACCAGCGTACAAACCACACCAAACAGTGCATTTTTCGGGATGCATGGGCAGTTCTTGAACGGCTTCTGGTTGCTCTTCACTCCAAATGCGGCAATTTTGCTTATTTACGAAGCCATTCAACCAGAAATGAGCCTCATCGCTGAACAAAATTTGTCGATAAAAAAGCGGATTTTCTGCCAACTTTTCTAGGGCCCATTCACTGAAAATTCGACGTTGTGGCAGATCGTTCGGCTTCAGTTCTTGCACGAGCTGTATTTTATACGGTTTTACACCAAGATCTTTGCGTAAAATCTTCCATGTGGTCGAATAACACAAACCCAATTGCTGCGAACGGCGACGAATCGACATTTCACGGTCTTCAGCAACACTCTCAGAAACAGACGCAATATTCTCATCTGTACGCACTGTACGCATTCGTGTGGTTGGTTTAATGTCCAATAAAGTAAACTGAGTGCGAAACTTGGTCACAATCGCATTAATTGTTTGCTCACTTGGTCGATTATGTAGACCATAAATCGGACGTAAAGCGCGAAACACATTTCGAACCGAACACTGATTTTGGTAATAAAATTCAATGATTTGCAAGCGTTGCTCGTTAGTAAGTCTATTCATGATGAAATTTCAAAGCATACTGAGCATCTTTCTCTTTGACACCATGTCTGAAATCCCACGTGATCTGTCAAATACTAATGCATGAAAATCCTAACCTCAAAAAAATCACCCGTTATATCAGTTTAGGAAAATGTTTTGCTTTCCGTGCCCAGCCGAGCCGGTGAGTACAGAAAAGGATGCGCTGACAAAATTGTAAACCAAATGAGGTAGTCAAGAAATAGATATGAGAGTGGGAATGAATGAAGAGGGTATAGAACACATTGACCTTTGAATTAAACTATTCAAGAAAGGGTTTTCTTTCGAATTTTCACTACCAAATACATAGCATAGGATTGGAATTCGGATGCAATAATTTGAGAGTGCTGAGTAAATTTTTCTGCTCCCAATGAGATTTATGATGTGTTAAGATAATAATAAGGGGATCTCTTAAACTCTTGAAGTTGGACTATGTGATATTGGATATAATTTTTTTTTTACAGAAATTTTGACTGTTATAAAAGTATTGGGACATCGAGATTAAAGGCAAAATGTAGAGAAGCAGTCTGGATTACTTGACCATAGGTTCACTGGCTTCGGTCCTTTTGCTAATAATACAATGTAAAAGCTGAGCATCGCATTGGGCAACTAGGGTAAAATACTGAACTCTAGTCAAAGTTTGTCATTTAACAAAAGCTCAATCTACTACAGATCTTTGCTGGCATCATCCTCTTAGTTACATAACCTTTTTAAAACCCAATTCGATATCCTTTTGACGTAAACTATAACTACATTTCTAAATATTATTTCTAAATTTCAATTCATACATTTTTTTTTTCTAAACTTATTAGGATTTTTACATACCGATCATAACTCTGGCTGGCACAGCATTCCATTCCAGCCAAAATGTGATAAATGATGATGTCACCAATATAATGCCGGGTATAAAAACAGTGGTGAAATAATATGCACGGTCCCTGGTAAAAGTCAACTCGACTTCTAGGCAACTGTAATTACCTTTAGGAAAGAAATACAACATACAACATAGTACAGAATGCCAAATTGGCTTTTGTGCAAATTATTTAACATTATTAAACTATTTAAGTAGTTAAGTAGTTGGTTTTTATAAGTAACGTAAATTCAGTTATTTTTTCGACTAAAACTATTAAATTTTTTATTATTGGCATAGACGTTGAACACTTAACGACACATTATGAATTTATTTATAATATGTATTTTTTTTCTGCAGTAAATGCAATAGACGAGACGCAAGACTTACATATGTAAATAAAATATATATGCACATATAGGACAAGAGACATTGTACATAGAAGTCGAGTGTGAAAGCCACAAACGAGGACGCACACTAAATATGAAATGAAAGTTTGTGCGCTTGAAAGCTTTCAGCAGTGAAAATTCGTTGAGATAAATAAATACTTCAACGAAAGCTTGCTCTGCGCGGTGAAGTGATTATGAACATGTACAGTGACTCAACTTCTCTTTTGTAGAAATCGCGAAATTCCGTTATCTAGCAAACTTTTGTATGCACAGATACACGCACAGTTAGTTTATGCTTAGAGAGTGTTATCTGTTTGATCTTCTACAAAATTTCGATATTGCTTTGCATGTACATATAGCAGCTGAAATCTCTATCTAACTTCCAAAAGTTCCCTGGGCCTACTTCAGTGTTAATGGAAGTAGTGGAAGTAGTCTAACTGGTCCATCATAATATTTTTTCCAATCAAGATTTGAGTCACTGTATTTATGTCTTAAATTTTAATAATTTATCATTTTGTTCACATAGACAAATTATGCATTTACGATATCTTACGATTAACCTAAATTAAATGTATTCTTCGGTCTTTTGACATGTGCCTAGTCCCTAGTAGGGGCAGTCTTCCGCTGTTAACACTTCCTTACCATATTTAACTAAGAACCTTTTAAATATATGTATGTATTATTAATACTTATTTAGCTACAGTTCGGCATTATGGATTCTAGAACTGAAAATTTCAATTTGTAAAGGTTTTGTGATTTAATTTTAAATATTTTTTTTTGGCATGCATTTTTTTTTATTTGCATTTATATATTTCGCATTATTTTTCCATGAAAGTGACGATACTAATTCTAATAATAGCAAACGTGTAATATATTTATTTATTAATCATGTGATATAAGGGCATGTCAATGAAATAAATGTACAAAAGGCAAGATTTTGTACGAGAATGAAAAAATGTAAACTGGCTGAAAAAAAACCAACAAATTTATTGCGTAAATATGAGTCACGAGTAAATACTAATTAATTGCTGTCAAACAAATGAAATCATTTACGAAAAATGTACACCAGGCAGTTGATATTTTTACGCCAATTTAATTGAAAAATAATTATAAAAAAATATTTATGTAAACTGTATACATTAGGGTAGTCCAAAACTACACAGGAAGATCAATTTGCTGGAATTTTCTTGCTGTCACGCCCAGAATTATTGAAAATGGAAAACAAGGGAGACGCATTTTTTGTTTTGAAAACGAAGTAAGTAAGAATGAATATTTCTGAAGGATAATCTTTTTATTTGAGCAAAAAATATTTATTGTTAACAATTTATAGCAATTCTACACGCAAAGTTTAAGGGCCATGGCGGCATGGTTCAATGTTAACCGATAAAAAAAAAAAATCTGGTCTCCTTATTCTCGCCTTTCTTTAGCTCTGTGGGAGGCTGAAACAAATGTTGGACCACCCTAATATACATAATTGGGTGATTAACATGATGTCATAAAGTCATAAATCGCTCAAGAATAACCTTATATAAAATTTATGAAAATACGACTATTTACGACAACTTGTGAATCACCTAACTGTAATGTTATTTCCAAATTGCGTAAAGCATATTCAGGCAAAAATAGTAGGGATGGCCTTGCAGAATGCAGATGTGGCTGACGAGCGTTTGTACGGGCTGGGATTTTATGTATGTGTTTTGGGTTTGTTTGAGGGCAGGTGGGAATCACTTTTTTGAAATTAATGTGGCATTAGCAAATTTTCAAACAAATTACTCAACAATAAATCAACGAAAATTACTGTAATTCAAATTTTTAAGAAATAATTACGAAGGTATTAAATATTCCAAAAATTTCGAACAAATGCAAAACTACTTTTTATGAATATTAAAAAAGTACTACATAATTTTAGCTGGTACTGTGGTGAGTTTATTCAAAGTGAAGTTAGGGGTGTAAAATGTGTAGCAAATAACCAGTTCGAGCATTCAAAATTATAGAAAATGAATTTTGAATAGCAAAGTTAGCTGGTATACTACATACAAATAAAATTTCTTTTATAAAAGCAAACAAATAATTTTTAATTAAATGTTTGACGAAAAAAGGGTTGCTTTAATTTATATTAAAGTTTTTATATATATGTATATATATGTTGTTTTAAATTCATTTATGGCATGAATGGGCTTAGCGGTTGATTGAGTAGTTGTGGATAGTTTTTTTTGCATTTTTGTTGCTGTTGTTGTTAAATATATGTATTTTTTTTAATACGATTTGATTTGGTTTGATTTTGGTTTGTTTACCTATCATTGATCTAGCCGGAACTGCATTCCATTCTAGCCAGAAAGTTATAAATGATGACGTCACCAGGATAATGCCAGGTATAAAAACGGTGGTGAAATAGAATGCACGATCTCTGGTAAATATTAAATCGACCCTAAGACAGCTGTAGTTCCCTACAATGGTGATTATAGTTTTTCTCGTTGGTATAAACATATGGACAAGTGAAGTTTATTAAAAGTTATATTAAATAGATATATAGACAGTTAAATACTTATTTTGTGGTATGGAAAGTCAAA